TTTCATGTGGTGTTGTATGATTAACTTGGCCGTAACCTGCTTGCTTGTTTAAGCAGTGGGAGGGCGCCCACATTCAGAGTACTGCCCCTTCTTTGCTGTCTACGTCTTCAGCGTTCCTCAAGGTTTTAATCTTTGAATAGCGCAGTTAAACTTCCTAGACAGGAGCCATGGCCAGAGAACACTGCATTGGTGTAGCGGGGTTTTTTGTCTTCCTCTCTCTTTCTGCCCTGGGGCCCGTTGAAGGAGGCAAACTGTTGGTCATGCCCGTGGATGGGAGTCACTGGCTCAGCATGCAGCTGCTGGTCAAGGAGCTGGCACACAGGGGACATGAGGTGGTAGTGCTGGTGCCAGAAGCTAGCATCTTCATCAAGGGTTCAGACGACTACAGATCTGAGCACTTTCCTGTGCCGCACAGCAAGGAGCAGCTCCAAGTGAACGGTGTGTTTGTCCACGAGTCTAATCTTGCGGGGATCCTCCTCGGCATCGAGAAGCTGCTGAACTTCACCAACATGCAGGTGAAAGGGTGCGAGAGCCTACTGTATAACCAGCCATTAATGCAGCGTCTTCGAGAGGGGGGATACGACCTCATGCTCACTGACCCCTTCCTGCCCTGCGGCGCCATCATCGCGGAGACGCTGTCTCTGCCCACTGTGTTCTTCTTAAGTGGCATCCCATGTGGACTGGAAATGGCTGCTGCGCAGTGTCCGTCCCCTCCTTCCTTCGTGCCCCAGTTGTTCACAGAAAACACGGACCGCATGACCTTCCCGCAGCGAGTGAAGAACTTCATGATGCTACTCGTGCAGTCCTTCTTGTGCAAAAATCTGTATGCCAGTTTCGACGAGGTGGCTAGCAGGTTCTTAAAGACGGACGTCACTTACAAAGAGCTAATAGGACGTGGCTCTATCTGGCTGCTGAAATATGACTTCACTTTGGAGTTTCCTCGACCCCTCATGCCCAATATGGCCCTCATTGGGGGTATCAACTGTGCTAAACAAAGTGCGCTACCAGCGGTGAGTCTTGTTAGTCATACAGCAATAAGTTTAATTCCTCAGTGTCAGCAAATCAGTTCAGAATGCAGGCTAAAGGTATCTTAAAGTTCCCTATACAAATTTAGCATTTGAATTTAAAGTCAATAAAATAAGTCATTTCT